TAAATCCAAAAGGCTCGAGTAATGCCTTAGACGATATCTCAGAGGGCAGAGTCCTGCTTATTCAGATTTACTTTCATGACCTGTCGTCTTGCAGGTGAGCAAATGCTAAATTCAAATGAAAAGGGTCTCTCAAATATCAGTCACTTTGAAGTGCAGCAGACGTTTGTTTAGCCGACTTCTTGGGTAGATGTCTGCTACCCAAACAGTTTATAGAGTCTGAGGGATATGCAGTCGCAGAGTAATCACGACAGCCAAAAGAAAAGGAGGCGTTCACTTGGAAAAGTTTATCAGAAATCTGAGGTTTCGAGTAGCTACTTCGTCTACCCATCTTCCGAGACTAGGAGGTCATGCGCAATGTTTTGATGCGTGGTCCGCCTATGCCGCCTGTGTGGATGCATGCGACCCGTATTTCACAGTGACCCGCCCTCGCCCTTCAATGAGATAGTCGATAGCCCCGATTGTCCCTCACCTTGACTGTCTCCCGTCAAGAGGGTTCTTAAAGCTGGATAGGAGGCGGAGGAGTGAAGGCAGCCATCCGTTGGCTCGCAAAAGAAACTGTGTGAGGACGCTCTTCAAACGGAATCAGGCCCAGTGCAGAAATCCGGAAAACTCACGCGAGATCCTATATCTTCGCGACCAGTTCATGCAGAACGGTTGTCCGGAAGCATTTATAAGCCGTTGCCCATGGGTTTACGCCCGGAGGAACCGGGCAGTAACACCACCACCAAGGATATGGGGTGATCTGTCATAGATTAAAGACGTCGCCGAAGCGACCGAGCGCATTGCTGCATTGTGTGTTGGAATGGCACACAGGCCCAAAGTTACCATGCACAGCAGGTTCATGAGAACCAAGGACTTATTACATCCCACGAAGCAGTCTGGGGCAGTGTATCATATTGCATGCCTAACCTGTTCTTGTACCTACGCAGGCCAGAATACACGCGTGCTCGGATCGCGTACACACGAACATAAGTTGGTTGTGGGAGGGAGTGATGAATTATCGCGAGTGACTCCTCACACCTACAAAACGGGTCATAAGTTCAACTTTGTGGCCGTCAAGGTAGTCGCCCACGCCATTGAAGGAAGACAAGTCGAAAATTGACTGACTCGGTCAGTGCATGGGCCAACCAGCCACCGGCATACAAAGCCCTGCACAGTTGCCTGCAGACCCGCATAACTGATTGCTGATTGGTTCGTATCCTCTATGTCGTTTGTACCCTTGCTGTTACTACCTCAGATGATGGACCCCTGCAGAAGTTAGACAGCTCAGAACAATAAGCAAACTGTTCGGATTTTCAGCCAGCCCTCTTCCTGAGTCTCTAAAGAAATGACATAGGCGTTTGTGATCTGACGGTTCTCGACCGAAAGAAGTTAGTTCATAGTTAACAAATAATGGTCGATAAGCGAAACTATGCCTTCTTCTGAAGTTTTGGGTATGCAAGAGGAGAAGTTGATGCGCTAAAGTGGTTTAAATCCGAAGTCCGTGACCTTTGTCCTGATAGGTCACGAACTGTAAATACACCCGAAAGGCCGAATATTCGTCCCCACTTAACATCCAGTCTCCTATAGGTCAAAATTTTACACCTATCCCCTTTTATATTTGCTAAACAGCAAGAATATTCATTGATCACCTTCTTCTTGAGAGTCAGAGCTCTTGACGGACTATAATGAGACCCCAGAAAAAGATGAAATATTCTCGCTATTTAAAACTGCAAACGGTAATCGTACGCCGACAGAAATGTAGGCGATCCCCGGCCCCCTACGCAAAGCTTACAAAGCAATTTCAGCCCTTTTTGTTTGGATCGCTGTCTGGTACACACTTCCGATCATTGGAGAGAATGGATCGGCAATGATGTCCCTTTTCACTACTTACATTGCTACCTTCTCCAAAACCATCCAACAAACGCCATTTTTGTAGGCTCTGGCAAAACTACTTTCAGCGACCTTAAGTTGCTGAGAGTTCAGAAAGTTTCAAGTAAGCACTGCTGAGCATTTCGATAAATTAATTAAGCAAACAGGCTTTACTTGTTACATTTTCACATCTAGGCGAACCCTCCATCGAATACTTTTCAGGTAACAATTGACCACCGGTACGACTGTCTCCTGAGAGGCAACTCGTATTGTAATCCCGATTGAAGGAAGCTTGCGGCGACATCCTCATTGGAACACGCACTCACGCGAAAACTGACCCCCCTGCTCTCTAATTTGATCAATAATCCCCGTGGAGGTCACAGATCCAGAGTTTTTCCAACGGGACCCCAAATTGGAGTATGAATTCCGGACGGGTCTGTAATCTCGCCTTAAATAGGGCGGACTGAACTGGTCCGTCTGTTCGATAGAGGCGAGGCAGTGTCTCTGGACAACAGATCAGCCGTCCAATCTACCCCCCTCCCCACCCCAAACCGTTGACCTCTTCTTCCCAGGGTCCAAGGCACACAATCCCAACACTGAGGGTTTACGAATTAACAACCGGCTTGACATAGTAAGCAATCTCGAGGAGCATGAATATTCATCATCTAACTCGAATCGGACGAGTAAGCATGCCATCATCAGAGGAGAGAAGAAAATGGGTGTGTCATTGAGTTGTATTTCTGGGTTTTTGAACTATGTCAGTGGAAACACTAAGGAGCAGACAGCAAAATTCATTCCAAAAAAGAGTCGATGTAAATAGTTTCCTCCCCTTTTATTCAGAAGTCGGAAGTCCTATTCGCAGGCCCTCTTGCATCCTTCCAGAGTGGCAAACCTGTTGGCGTTTCCTCCACAACCGCCGTAGATGAAGCGCACACACTTGCGCTGTCTTCTATCGAAGGCGTAATGAGGAAGATAGGCGAGGCAGTTTCCGGCCTCAATGGGCAACTCACAACGATTCTCCCGACCTGAAAATCATGATGGGTTGAGAATGTGTGACCCTTGCAGCATTACTTCGCGTACTACTAGTTCAAAAGGCCAGTTTGGGCATCTACCATCCCTTGCTTGCTTATAAGTCAAGGAAATCTGATGCAGTACAGACTGTGGTGCTCTGTCAGTTTGGTTTTATAACAGACGATTTGTCTTCGATTAGGTAAAAATGACTGCTTAAATAGTATGATATTTACTACTGATTTCTAATGTGCTCGTAAATTCAAACATATCTTACAGGTGACGTTTGCAAAACTACCCTTTCTAAAACCCATTTTACAGGAAATCACGTACTCCTCCAAGATTTCTACTTGGAAAAAAAGCGTCTTTAGGTTTTGAAAATATTTTTTTGTCCTCGAATAATTTTAAACCCTACCAGCAATGGCCCTTGCGCCTAGAGTTTCCAAACTACATGCTTCACACTGTCTGTGTATGGAAGATTGTATGTTTCTCAAGGATACCTAGAAGATGTCATGTAGAGCTCATAAAATCTCGCAATTAATGTAGACCATGTTGCCTACTATTAAAGAAGCTTCAACAAATGTACAGATAGGATGCTTTGTGGCTATACATTTCACGGTTTTGCGAAATCTTATAACAAGATGGTCTTTTAAAGTCGAAACACGCCTTTCTCTGCAATGGATGTGGGTTATGTTGTAAAATTCATAAGCAGCACTAATAGTCGATCAGATACGATGCAGTATGGAAGGACATTTCAGATCTTTAAAATCTCACAAATGCAGACATTTTTAAAACCGAATGATGCCTTTTCTTCGAACATAAAGTCTGAAAAAGACGTAATCTGCTACCAAATATATGCAAGAGGGAATATTTATTCGCATTTTTTAAAAAATACAATTGAATTGATAGGGACTTCGAAAGACGTTTAAGGAGCAAAGTCTGGGGCAGTGATAAAATTCGAGCTACGATCGTTACTGAAATATGGAGATTAATATTGCAATAGTAATGAATTTTACGCACGGAGTTTTAAGACGGTATCTGTCGGGTAGCTTTATGGTGTGTAATGATATAATAATCCAGCTTCCTGCTAAATCCTCCTGGGATATAGACATGATGATATGTGCAGACAGAACGTTTCAAGCCTGAACCACTCTGTTACAGGGGTAGAACTTCCGTGTATGCAATCCGACGCCAATCACTACATAACAGCCAATGACTAGTCGCCTGAAATGCTAGCCGAAATTCCGACATGCCGTTTCGACTGAGAAGGATTGCTTAAGTAAGGCTGTGGCGTCGACTATTGTGCGGCATTATCCTATGATATTTCGGGCTCATTAGGATGTTGGCTTCTGAATGCCGACTTTAGAAAATGCACTCGGTGACAGATGACTACTTAAGCAGTATGCATCTTTTCTATTGAATTTCGATGCCCCTACAATTTCAAATATATTTGTTAGGGTCGGATGTGGTTATGTAGCCCCACCTGAAGTAAACAAACCCCAGTCACATCTAATACGAGATCGATGGTAATAGAGGTTTTGCAGGTGGCGCCGGGGAACGCACAGGCGACGCGGTCAAGTAGCTGTATGCAAAAGAAAAGCTATTAGGAATGTGTGGTTGTACGTTGAATGTTTGAGAAATTGTTGCGCTAACCGCTTATCCTAAACCTAATCCTTGACCACAACCGCAGCAGTATTGTGTCCTTCAGGTTGAGCTACCAAATCAAATCTTGCCTTTTTTTAGAAAACGTATGTGAATGTAGGTTATTTGGAACTTATTTTGTAGGAAATTACGTCCTCTTCAAAGTTTTCACTAGAACGCGAGGTTAATATCGGTTTTAGAGAGATTTATATCTGCCTGGACTTTTTAAGACATCTAAATGTCCATTCATCCAGCATCGTATCCACTTTTTTAATGAAATATACATGAAGCATACAATATAGTTCACATGCAGCTCAAAATTCTATGAGCCCTATATGACATTTTCTTAATGTTGTATACAAATGCACCACTCTTCTTACACAAGATATGCCGCATGTAGACTGAAAACGCTAGACGCGAATGCTACGGCAGATGGGGCTGAAAACAAATGAGGAATTGAAAAATTTATTTAAAACCGGGGCGGTGTACTTTCTTGGAGCATGAAATTTGAAGAATACATGATTTTCTACCAGGTAAGTATAGGAAAAGATATTTTTTTGCACATATTCTATGCAATATACCTGAATTTATAGGGGCATCGGAAATCAAAGTAAAATCAATCTGCTATGTCAATACTTTTTTCACAGCTTACGGATAGCCGAAAACAAAGGCATGCGAAAGCCCAAATCCCGGCAAGGCTGAAATACTATAGAATTATGTCGCACAATAATCAATACCACAAACTCACATAATAAAACCTCCCTAACCGAAAATGCAATTCAGAATTTCAGCTAGCATCTCATGAGATCGGTCACTCCCTTTAAGTCCGTATGTGACCGGGATAAGTTTACCATCGAAAAATCACCTAATGTATTTCTCAAAGTAGGCGTTATTCAATAGACTTTTTGATTTACACAACCTTCTACTTTTCCTTCCTTCTGTCACGTTGTTAGGTGAACTCTTTCTGTCGATTAATCTGCGCGTACGTCCCGAACTGTGCTCTGGCGGCTTTTTATATTGATCTTCTAAACAAATTCAACATACAGTGTGTTCCTTATGCGTTATGCATGTTATGCTGAGACAGAAAACGGCCGAGGATTCTTCGTGAACACTTTAGTGAGAATAAATTGCATTTTTTATGCTTGTTTTGAATTCTTGCCGTTAGCAAAACACCTCAGGCATTCGAGTATTTAATAAATGCACGGAAAAGCACACCCCCGGCCATGCAAACTCCACTTTTAGTTGACAAATTTACTTTCCGTACTGTCATTATGCGCTAATTTTCTAATTCACAAGAACATAAATATTCGAGCAATTCAGTAGTCAGGTTTAAATCTACTCTGAAATATTGCATACCTGTAGCTCCGAGGCAAAGAAGGAGAATCAGTAGGAAACAGAGGCTGCGCATTCTATTTGTTCCTCACTAACGCCGATGATTCATGGACCATCGACCCTTATATACTATCTGACGTATGGAGGTGGCTCAACTGTATCGGAGCACAGGGAACTCAAAGGCCTGATTTATGGAAAGTCGCAAATCTGCACACCTGATCTCGCTACAATTCGAAATAGCAGCACCGATCAGTGGGACTGATGTGAATCTAGTTGCACAGTTACATCGCATATAGGGAAGAATTCATCCAGACACCGCCAGCAGGGTTTATTAGTGTACCCGTTGTCATGGGAACAGTGCGGCAAGGTGGAGGCAGGAGGTGGAGGGATAGAGCTGCTGTAGATGGAATGTCATCAGTTGGGTCTGTACTCATGGAGGTGTAGTTATGGTACCATTTTGTCGAGATAGAGCTCCGCACACGGAACCTACTTAACGTCACGAACGCGATTGAATGTATCCCAGTGTGCTCAAAGTCGTGGCTTGGGAGACTGCTAAACGTGGCAATAGCTCGACCCGCCTCACAGAAGCGAGAGAGAGAGAGCAAGAATGCGGCTCTACATGATGTGGTCTCTACAGCACTCGCAGTCAGATCGGACCGCAGCTGTCCTCACCTATGGTTGTGTAGAAATCTGGTTCACTGTGCACCGATCGGGCGTGTGTGCGGCAAGCCCGGACACGCACCGTCTGGCGTGGCCAACTACTGTATCCGAGCATGCCCTACGCCCGGTCATCTTCACTCTTTCTTGATATCGAATCCGTGTGGGCGAGGAGGAGGGAATGCGCGGACCCTGCGCAAGGCTACAAAACTAATTCCCATGAATGCCTCTGTCCCTGCACTCCCGACTCCCCTGTTGTGGGGTACACGGTGAACATCGTCGAGGAGGACGACTGAGAAGTCACCCAGTAAGAATTTCAAAAAATAAGTGGCCAGAGGACAACAAGTGGAATCAAGACTTACTATTGCCGCCACAGGCTCGCTGGCACTCCTCAAGGCTTTCGAAACGATTGCCATTGCCACCGCAGCCACCGTAGATGAATTTTTCGCAGCGATTCACCTCGGGAACGTAGGCGAAGCTGGGGAAGAAGCCTCTGCATAGACCGGGCTCGACTGGCAATGTGCAGACATTGTTGCCCGCTACAAGTAAAACAGTTGGTGAACATGGATGATCATTTTACAGCGTTACACTACTCAAATTAAGTCAGTGTGTGCCAGAGTTCATGAAACAATCGTAGCAGATGCGAAGGTCGTAGATTCGTACCGAATGTTGCTGCGTGAGCTTCTGATTAATTTGCTTTTACCAGTTATTGACATGGTAACCTCTGGTCATGCAGCACGGGAAAAGCTACTTTACAGGCGATAAACTAACACGAATATATGCTTTAAAAACTATTATATATATATATATATATATCGCGTTCATCATCTCCCGAAGAAGACGAAGAAGAAGAGAGGGCGAATCCATGGACCATCTTGTATTCGAACTGACGTTTCGGAACCTTCCTCGTTTCCATCATCAGAGTAGCGTAGTTGTTGCACTTGCGGAACTCAAGACCCGCAAGTGCAACAACTACGCTACTCTGATGATGGAAACGAGGAAGTTTCCGAAACGTCAGTTCGAATACAAGATGGTCCATGGATTCGCCCTCTCTTCTTCTTCGTCTTCTTCGGGAGATGATGAACGCGATACAATGTCTGGACCTCGAATCTTTACGCATATCGATATATATATATATATATATATATATATATATATATATATATAGAGAGAGAGAGAGAGAGAGAGAGAGAGAGGAAGATTTGGCAAAGGGGCGCTCATGGATCATATTACGGAACACAGTCGTCCCGTTGTGCCTTGGCGCTCCCTCTCGAGCCCTGCCAGCACCTGCATGGCCGGGCGTTATATATGTATATATAAAGACTTAAGTTAGAAAAGTATAACTAAGACAAACCACAACACGTTTAACGAAGGTAAGCAATTTTGGGGTCAGCGATAAAGAGGCTGACTCTCAGACTCTGTAGTGTCTGCAGCGACCCCATATCTGAACTCAAAATGCGTAGCCCGAAAGTTCGCCACTGACGTCTGAGGCATCTCCTAGTGATATGGGGTAGAGAAATGAGATAGGCTGGGAAAATACTACAAGGAGCTCTAGAAGGATTCATTCCATGTCCTTTTAAATGGGAAAGAAACGCGCTGGTCAGTGTTAAGGCGAATACTTCTACGACGGTGGACCTGCACTGACTTTAAATGCCTGCGATGCTGGAAGGCATACAAATACGAAAGATTATAATCACTGCTTTCACCATTTCGTTTGTTAGCCCTACACCGAAGTGTACAGGTCTCACAGTCAACGGAATGCCGATACTTTGGTAGGACAGAAGTCAGCACACCGGAAACGCACCAATCAGAAAGGGGGCACTAACCTGCACTGCTGCTGAGCGTCAGAAGGATTGAGAGGCAGAGAACGCTGAACATGCTTGGTTATCCCCTCTGTGTTGCTGTGCTTGCCCGCAACTGAGAGGTATTTATATCTGCCGAGGGCAGCAATTTGTGCGCTTTTCGCTGCCGATGATTGCCAAAATTGGCGTAGCCTGTCTAGCTGATTGAGGTGCTTCAATGCGCGCACCGGAAGCACTGTCAAAGTGTCCGGCTGCACTTTCGCAGCAGAGACGACTGCGTAACTTCGGGACTGGCTGTAAATCAGCTGATCATTGTTCAAGCAGATCCCATCCTTTGGGGGGCCCGGCATGAATGACTGCGTTAAAGTACAGTGCTTAATTGCGGCGGATACTAATGGCAGACGCAGCAATTCCGACCATAGATTTTAGAACCCAATCGGTCCGAACGCTGAGGTCGGGATCATCGTCCACTTTCCCACCCCCGGGTTTGGGATTTCTAGCTATACGTAATGCAGTTATTTTGGCAAAATCTCCGACATTTTTGTGCTTGACGGTCCGATTTTTGCATGAGAGAGAAAGAGAGAAAGGAGAAAGTGAATGCTTGTAGTGAACGCAAGGTTTTTTCTCACATGGTCAATCGATGGCTGTCCTTTAGTTATAAGCTATTCAACTGTCGGTTTCTGAACGTTGAAAAAAGAGATTGAATCTCGAGAAAATGTTTATAAGAGAGGACTGTGCAACTTTGGGTTGACATCAGCTACTGCAAATAAACCGACATTTTTTTAAGTAGGCTTCCCCCTCCCGAAGCTTGTCGTTAATTATTGCATAAGTGGACATTGATTACTTGCTATTCTTCAGGGTAGCCGAAGCAGATAGGAGACTTTGCAATTACGACCCAATTTATTACATTCCTAAAGCGGAAGTTGCAGTCAATGATATTACATGCAGATATTTTAACGGTCTGCAGCTTAGCTCGAAACATAGTTGACTAGTGTGCTGGAAATGTCGCGTCCGTTCGCTTGCCACAAATCAACTCACACTTCTCCATTGTCCCAAAACACTTCAAGTTGCAACCGCACCCGCCATAGACGTGGTGCCGTCTGTTGTGGCTAAACTGGGAAATATGTCTCAACCCGTCTAGACCAACACCGGTTAGCGGTGGGGAAACGAGAGCATATATCCTAGGTGGCCATGGACACACTGGACACAGATTTGCATGATGGAAGACTCGCACCGTTGGCGCCTACCCAGTAAGAAAGGACCGCGAATTCCAGGAAGCAATGCACTCAGATGAGACATACATCAATCGTATTTGAAGAAGAAGAAGAAGAAGAAGAAGAAGAAGAAGAAGAAGAAGAAGAAGAAGAAGAAGAAGAAGAAGAAGAAGAAGAAGAAGAAGAAGAAGAAGAAGAAGAAGAAGAAGAAGAAGAAGAAGAAGAAGAAGAAGAAGAAGAATCGAGCACCGGAACAATTCGTTTATTATCCTGAGCTTTCAGACTCGTACAGGAGTCCATCGTCAGAGGTAGTGGCAGAAACAGGACAAGCGGCAGTTATAAGGCACGTAGACCCAATCATCGACCGACGTCGCACGACTGGAGGTGACTACGAAAGGCTCTGTACGCCGGCGCCAGATCGATAAATCGATTGACCGAGTTCTCATCCGAGGCCCAGGCTTCAATCATTTCTCGGCCTGTTTTGTTTCCGGCGTGGGCAACTATTTTGGTGGCTGCGAAGTCAAACTCGTGACCCATTTCGTAGGTGTGGGCGGCCACTTGTGACAATGCGTCGCCTCGCCTCACAGCCAGCTTATGTTCATGTATGCGCGATCCGAGCATGCGTCCAGTCTGTCCTGTGTAATTACAAGGACAATTTTGACACGGAATGCGATACACTACTTCAGATTGCTCTTCGGGTTTTAACCGGTCTTTGATCTTCATGACCCTGTTGAGCATGGTGGCTTTGGGGCGGTGTGCGATTCCAACCCCTAGCTCCGCAGCAATGCGCTCGGTCGCTTCTGAAACACCCTTGATGTATGGCAGAGAATGCCATATCGTCGGTGGCGTTGATGTTTGAGTTCTCTGGTGGCGACCGCGTAGGCAGCGACTTATAAATGCCCTCGAATAGCCATTTTGCACAAACTGGTCGCGGAGATAACGGGCCTCACGCGCTCTATCTTCCAGTTTGCTGCAATGAGTTTGGATCCGTTTGAAGAGTGTCTTCACACAGCTTCGTTTGTGAGCCACCGGATGGTTGCTGTGAAAACTGAGAAGCTGTGTGGTGTTCGTTGCCTTCCTATAAACCGTCGTTTCAAGTTCACCGTTAAGGTTTCGTCTGACGAGCACATCAATCGGCCTATCAGTTTATACGCCACATGCAAATATGTGAAGGAAAAGTGGGAGGGAGCACAGCCAACGTCGCTGAGAGGACGAAATGCAATTGACGCGCATTGGCGCAGGCTTCGGCCAACCGCAGAATCACTTGTTCGACACGGTTAAATGATGAAATGTTTTTGTACATGACTCATACTTCTGACAGAGGTGTGTGGAACCACTCTCGAAAATTTACACAACAAAAGTTTTTTGCAGTAGCAATTGGGAGATGGCACCCAAAAAAAATCCGCCCAACCAAAGCAGCCTGTCTTACGGGACAGGTGGTAATAGGGGTTTTACGGGTAGGGCCTTCGATTGCGTGGATAAATATAAGTTATACTAAGAAGCTTTTTTCAGAAATGGCTTTTCGAACGATAATGTTTGACCTCATCACTATATGGCAACAAAAATGTGGGCGGTGTCGGATTTACTTGAAGAGGCAGATAATATGAAGTCGATCCAGCTCGTATTCCCTGCTTAATTGCTTTTTTAAATAGAGGATTGAAAGCGGAATGCAGTTGGCTACAGGAAACGTTCTACGTTGTGCTGTTCATGACTCTATGCCTTCATATCCTCGCTTTCAAAACCGCACGTTCAATAAACACAGAGGACGTGATTGAAAACATCGCCGCACTTGACCCCGAAGAGAGTTGCCATTTTGTGAAATTGCTTAGCTGATGACACCGTCTGTCTAGGATTGTATGCTTTTAAAGTTTTCCGGCCCTCAGTAAAATACCCTTATTTTATTCCTTTCATCAGCCTGTGGACGAACACTCATGCAGTCCTTCGGCACATTCTAATCGGTAACGGAATTTTTTGGGTGCCATCTCCCAATTGTTACCTGATTTGCTCCCAACAATAGGTAACCTAACTTATGAAAGTTGTCGAGATTTACGAGTGATTGCCAGTCACTCGAAAACGGACATCAATGCATGGATCCAATGTCTTTGTTAATTATGTACAACTTTAAAAGAATTAAAAGCAAAAAAGGGAGTGTCGCATTGCTGCGAAAAGCCGATGATTTTTAGAAAAGCGCAAAATCCTGAAAGCGTGACGCACCTAATTTGAATTTCCTGACCGTATACAGGCCGCCCAATCAAACTGATGAGGTTGACGAGGCGATGTTTGGGCTAATTAAAGAGACGTCACAAAACCAAGAGGTACTGATAACCGGAGATTTCAACGCACCCAGGGTCGACTGGAACAATTTATTAGTAAATTTTTCGCGAAATTCGTTTCATTCCAGGCTCTTGAAACTGACGGCTAATCCCTTTCTGGTACAAAACGTCACGTTCCCAACCAGGATCAGAGCGGACCAAAGAGCAAATTGTCTGGACCTCGTCCTTACAAAAGACCCGATTAGCCCTGGCGAACTTAGATCCATAACACCGCTCGGTAAGAGTGACCATGTCATGCTGTTTTGGGGATACCGCCTATGCAGCCAACAAGCGAATACGACTGAGCCTAGACTGAATTTCTGGCGAGGAGATTTTGCCGCCATGAGAAGGGAATTATCGGCAGTGGACTGGGATGACTTTCTTTCCGGACATCCAGACGTTGATTGGAACGCTCTCAAAGGATTTGTAACAGACATCATGCATCGAAACTGTCCGACAAGGAGAGTCAAAAAGAATAATCGTCCTGCCTGGATAACACGGGATATAAAGAAAGAAGTAAACCGGAAGAACAAACTATGGCGAAGGTATGCAGCAACAAAACAACCATCCCATTACGAGCAATTTCGTCGAAAGCGAAACGAGTTAAGGGGGGCTATCCGCAGGTCGCGGAAGGAATATGAAATGCGAGTTATGGAACGGGCCGTCGATAAGCCAAAAGTGCTCTTCAGTTACATAAACAGTAGATTAAAGAACAAGGAGACGGTCGCAGTGTTAAAAGGAGAAACCAATGAGGATATCATCGAAAATGATGCTAAGGCAGAAAATCTAAGCCGGTTTTTCGTATCGGTTTTCACCGATGAAATGGACTTTGGCGAGGCTGAATCTCCTGCTGGGACAACCGACGAAATAATAGAAAACATCGACTTCACGGAAGAAGATGTGAGGAAGAAACTTCTAGCGCTTAAGGAGGGCAAGTCTCCGGGCCCAGACCAAATTCCGGCAAAAGTGCTGAAGGAGTTGTCTTGCGAACTCGCCAAACCGCTTTGGCACATCTTTAGGTCCTCCTTTGACCTAGGCATTCTCCCCTCGGATTGGAAAGTGGCGAACATATACCCCATTCACAAGGGCGGATCCAGAACAAGTACAAACAATTATCGGCCGGTGAGCCTAACGTGCATTTGTTGCAAAGTCATGGAGAGAATAGTCAAAAAATCCATAATGAAGTTCCTTGAAGAAAATAATTTCTTTGCTAGTTCTCAGCATGGCTTTCGACGAAATCACTCCTGCCTAACTAATATGCTTCATTCAACGGAACAGTGGTCTCGCTCGTTAGACGCAGGAACAAAGGTCGATATCGTTTACATAGATTTCAAGAAAGCTTTTGATAGTGTTCCACACCACCGGTTACTTTACAAGGTCCGCGAGTCAGGGATAAGGGGAAACCTATTAAACTGGGTAAAGGACTTTCTGACTGGTCGATCACAGTCTGTGTGTATTGGTAGTGCGAAGTCAACACCAGTGCCAGTTGTGAGTGGAGTTCCGCAGGGCTCCGTACTCGGACCAGTACTATTTTTAATTTATGTCAACGACTGTATGAATGGACTGGACTGCAATGGAGCCATATTTGCTGATGACATCAAGTTATGGCGAGCGATCAACGGCGAACATGATGAACGGGCCCTGCAAGAAGGACTGAACCGCCTATGCGAATGGTCTGAAAAATGGCTGCTAAAGTTTAACCTAGAGAAGTGCGTCGCGCTGCGACTCAAAACGACTGGAAGATCTGACGGAAAGGATCACCATTACCAACTTGGTGGAAGGTGCCTTTCAAATGTAACCGAACAAAAAGATCTTGGGGTTAACATTCTGTCGACCCTTAAGCCTTCATCTCAGTGTGTTAGGGCGTCCAAAAGAGCAATTAGTGTTCTCTTTGACATTAAACGATCTTTCGTGGACATAGACAAAGAGTTATTTGGAAAAGTATACGGAGCGTTCATTCGCTCGCATCTGGAATATGGAATCCAATCGTGGCGCCCGTGGCTAAAAAAAAGACAATAAGTTGCTAGAAAGAGCTCAGAGGAGAGCAACAAAAATTGTAAAAGGCCTCAGAACTTTACCTTACAAGTGCCGACTAAGGGAACTTAAACATTTTCCTCTTGAGTACAGGCAGGTTCGAGGAGATCTCATACAGGCCTATCGGATATTGAGGAACCGGGAATGTGCCCTAAACCCCGACGATTTCTTCACCCTGGCCACAACAACAAACCTGCGGTGGAACTCTCTAAAACTTAGAGGATCCCGATGCCGCCTGGACGTTCGCAAATACTGTTTTTCACAGCGAGTCGTCGGTGCCTGGAACGGGCTTCCCGAGGACGTAATAATGGCGGATACCACGGAGACGTTCAAGCAAAGACTCGATGCATATTTGCTTGGACACTATCGCTTGTCTGAACAGAACAGCTCTGTGGTGCTTAACCAACGCCTTGCATACTCATACCGCTAATGCGGATGACTGTCATTACATTTTACTGAAATCATCTACAACTGAATGTTCTCAAGTTTGGGTTCTACCTTTTCATGGAAAATATTCTGTTAAATGTGTATATTACTGACAACATTTCAGTACATGTTTATTTATAGTTAGATATTGCATGTACCGTTTACAATAGGGTATTCAAAGGCATTGCCTATTACTCTTAAAATATACTGACCTTAACAAACTGCGTTTCCAGATGTACAAAATGTCTTCTCATGCGAAATAAAACTGAGTAAACATGAAAGCACAAATAAAATAACGCTCAAAACTAGTGTTTTAGTGAGGTTTGCACCTAGACATCCTTTACAAATTAATGTAATTTCAGGTGTGGCGGTTTGCAAAAAGCCCCCATTCTGAGTACAGATTCTAAAACAGTTTTCTGCGGATTCGAGAGGTCCTTGATTCTTTTGGGTTGATCTAGATTCACTTCATCAAGAGAAACGGGATTTTGCTTGATTTCATTGATGGGGACGTCGTCGGAACAAACGCTTTCACAAGGCCACATGCTTCCAGGCCGATCGATCACTAATAAATTTAAATAGAACTGATAGGCGTAATCGTAAGCAAATCATTTTGTGTTTATAAAGATAACTTCTATTTCTTAAAATTAACTTGC